TCTTGCTCCTGGTCTTTCTGCATCTCGTTCCCTGTTATCATTTGTTTCAGATCTTCCAAGAGGTTTTTTCCTCTAACAGAGACAAATAGGTGATGCTTGCCCACCTGTAGCACACTGTAGATGGTGTTCTGTACCTTTCATTTTCCACTGACCGATACGGCTGGGCAATCCTTCGGCAGGTCAGTATATAAACATATATATACTGACGGCAGGTCAGTATATAAACATCTGCCCTGTTCTTTGCAACGGCTGGACGATTGTCTATCCGTTTTGAAAGTACCGTACTTTATTTTGAAGGGAATATGTGGACCCCAACCTCTTAAGCCCCGAGCTATACAGGGACGAGCTGGGAAGCTGAAATGTCAGACCCTCACACCCAGGGCCACTGAGCATGTCAGATCAACCGACCCCTTGCAACATTTCTACACACAGACTTTCAGTCTGATTGAAGACTAATTGAAACAACGTGTGAAAGCAACGTGTGCTTGCAAACGGCAGGTGCCTGCCTATCATGCCAACGTTGGCAGGTGTCTGACTAAATGGGCCAAGATGGTTAGAATACTAGAGAGTAGCAGACGTCCAGGGAAGGAAGCCGCCCCGTTCCCCAAGGGCCGGAGAGAGATGGAAAGAGCAGACAGATGTGTGTTCCAAACCCAGCCCTGCCACTCACTGTTGGCACCAGGGAGGGCTAGACAGGTATGAATATGACACCTCCACTCTCTGAGTTTGGGCTGGGCGAACAGTCACCAGGCTGGTGACTACATTTCCCAGGCTCCTTTGCAGCCAGCTGTGCCTCACCAATAAAGCGGAGCTGGCTGCAAGGGAGCCTGGGAAATGTAGTCGCTTCTCTCTACTTCCTTTCTCTCCACCTTCCCGTGGACCGGAGCGCAGATGTGGTGGTGGCGGTGAAAGATCTTCAAATGAAGGAACAAAGTGACACCCCAACAGCGAGACTGGAAGGCACTCTGGCTCCCCTGGCCCACCTCTGGAGCACACTGCTGTGTGAGAGGCCAGTCCACTTTGATCCTGCTTCGGCGACCGCATTCTGAGGTCTCCCTTGGGGCACCTTAACTTTTAGTAACTAGCACACAGCGTGACCTCTGAACAAATCACCTGGTATCCTGGATCAGTTTCTGCATCTCCGTATCCCTCATAACACCTAGCATGGTACTTGCCACATGATACAAGCTCAATAAATGGCTCTCTGGGCCTGTTTCCCCATCTGTAAAATGGGTACACTAATCATTCCTTTGTGAACCCCATTTGACACAGAGGACCATACCGTTTGTACACCCGGTACCTAGCTGCCAGCCGCCCGAGGTATCAGGGTACTTTGCACCGAGAATGAGCAGAGGTTTCACCTTCCTCTGTCCGGGTGAGTTTGGGCAAGTCCCCTGTTTTGGACGCCGTGTGGGAGCTCCCCTGCATTAGAGGCAAAGGACACCTCTGTCTCTACAGGCCAAGGAGGGCGAGGCCATGGAGGAGGCAGCCTAGCGAAGGCGTCTGACCGCACAACGCCTGCTGACTTAGGCGTGAATGAATCAGAGGCACGTGGGTCCCCTCACCTCTTCTGCACGCGTGGATTTTAAAACTAAATGTGTGCCAGGGAAAAGGGGAGCAGTTAAAGTGAGTTCTCAAGATCACCCTTCATTTGTCCCACGCAAGTGAAAGAGTTAAAAGGCCAGTCTTTTAAGCTTTTGTCAATCACAGAGCCCTGTGTTAATTAGATACCTAATATGCGTCAGCCCCAGTACTCAGCACACTGTGTATGCTCTCTCCACCGATGCAACAGCCCAGCCCGATGCTCACCACCTTGCAGATGTGAAGACCAGAGAACAAAGTGCCTTGCCCAAGATGACACAGCTAACAAGTTGCTGAGCGGTATGTGAATACAGATCTGCCTGAGGCCAAAAGCCACGTTCTTCGAGGCCACAATTCTAACACTGAATACCTATTATGCTCTCAACGAAGGCTAAGTTCCTTGGAGAACAGCAAGACGAATCAGGTACAAGACTTTCTGTTCCCCGGGTGATTTGAAGAACGTTTTCTTCATGGAAAGTAAAAGGATGGGGTAGGTGTCAGACCTAGGATCAGAGAGCATGGGGTGCTCTGCCCCCTAACTACCCCATATCCTTCCGCACATTTCTGTGCCTCTCTGGGCTTCATTCTCCTCACCTATAAAATAGGAACGGCACCAACGTCCCAGAATCACTCAGAAGATTAAAAGAAGGAGAGGGGCGCCTGGGTGCCTCGGTCGGTTGAGCGTCTGACTCTTGATTTCAGCTCAGGTCATGATGCCAGGGTCGTGGGATCGAGCCCTGCATCAGGCTCTGTGCTGAACATGAAGCCTGCTTAAGATTCTCTCTTTCCCCTTCTGACCCTCTCCCCCACTCATGCTCCCTCTCGCTCTCTCTCTCTCTCACTCTCTCTCTCTCTCAAATAAAAAATAAAGATAAGAAGGAGATAACAGGTGTAAAGATGCTACGAAAACTCTCCAGTACAGGACAAAAGTCAACATTGTTTTCGGATACTCTGGAAGCCTTGTTTGTGTTGTTCAAATGCTCCACTAACATCCATGGGGACAGTGAGCCAAGCACATTTGCTCCCCTGGGACAAAGGGAGCGCAAATGGTGTCTCCCGACGATGTTCCCCGCACGTGAAATCCCAGAAGCTCACACGCCCGAGTGCTGGGCCATCTGACCTTCCAACGCCAGATGGCAGATGTCAACGGCTTCGTGGCGCTCTGTAGGCACACTTCTGGCAACAACAATTTCCGTGTGGATGGCATTTCAGAGTTGACAGAGTACTTTCACACTCGCAAATTCTTTGGAGCGCCTTGGAACCCAGCAACGCAGGGAAGATAATTTGCATATGAGGCAACTGGGGTCCCAGGGTACCAGGAGGTACCACAACTTGCCCAAGGACTTCCATATTAATAGGGAGAATCCATACTATATACGCCATGTCTCAGGCCTGTACCTGGGTCTAAAGTTCTTTCCGTTTCCTGGCTATTCAGCACCTGCTACAGAGGAAACTATGTTTGTTTGAGGCCCAGGTTACAAAACACGGCACATGAAACCTACTCAGTCATTCAGTAAATGCTCACTGAGGATCTTCCCCTGCCCAGTCCCGTGCTGGGCCCTGCAGAGACCAGTGGGCCAGATGCAAGGCCTGCTCTCCAGGGACTCAGTCTGCTGGATCACAGGACCATGGAGTGAGGCTCTGCTGTGCCTCTGCAATCTCTAATTCTTACAACAACACTGCAAAGTGTACATTTGCCCCAAATTTAATAATGGGCAATGGAGGCTCAGAGACACTGACTGATTGGTTCAAAGTCGCTCAGCCCATAAGTGGCAGGTGTAGGATTAGATTTACGAAGTCTTTTGGATGCCCAATCTCAGGCTCTTCCTCAAGAACACACAGGACACCTTGACATGTCTTCAACACATAATGTCCGGAGAGGGGCCAAGATGGCGGAACAGCATGGAAGTCTTCTGCTTCTCTCATCCCCAAAATGCAGCTAAATCAACGCCAAACCATCTTACCCACCTAGAAAATCGATCCGAGGATTACCACAACAATCTGCACAACTTGAACCACAGAACTCGGCAGGTACGCTGTGCAGAGGGGTGAACTAGGGGAGAGAGAAGCCGCGGGGGGCAGGGAGCTGTTTTTGCTGGACAAGACAGAGGGGAAGAGTACAGGAAAAGCATTCCCCCCGAAAGCAGCTGGAGAGAAAGAGAGTGGAAACACCCATAAAGGGCTGAACAATAAAGGGAGAAAGGGGAAAGAAGGAAAGAGAGAGTTAGGACTCTATAAACAGGGGAGGGCAGAGTCTGAAACTCCACAGCTCGGTACCAAGCTGGACCCAATGTCCGGAATAGAACTAGAAGTGCCACGGCACCCACTGGGCTTAGTTACATGACATCAAGTGACGATTCAACTACTTTATTTCTTCTTTTGCCCTCTAGGCTGGTGATTTCACGCGATCATAGAGCGTCAGAGACAAAAAGGGCATCTAGTTAAGCCTCCTCACTGTACAGATGGGCTAGCTGAGGACGAGAAAGCACATCTTGCCCAACGTCACAGAGCAACTTAACATCAGAGCTGGAAAGCAGCATACGTACGTCTGCATTAAAGCCCCAGTTATTTTCACTCCTTCGTGTTGTGGCTGCCCAGCCTAAGGCCTGGCATTTCCTTTCACATTCTTTTTTTATCTGGAGAATACCGCCTGCTTCAGGCAGAAACCAACTGCAGTTCGTCTTGGTGTGTACCTGGAGTGCAGAGTGATGCCCCTCCATGAGTGTGTGATCACTGAACGACAGACGAAATGACCGTAATTATCCCCATTATGCAGATGAAGAAACTCAAGGTTCAAAGAGATTGGGGTACCTGTCCAAGATGACACGGCCAAGCCATGATTCACACCTGGTCTTTCTGGCTCTGGAGGCCCTACATGGCCGCTGGCCGGAGGGCGTACGAAAGGCACCAGCCCCCCCAGCAACCTGAAGAGCAGGCACAGCATAGGGACCCTGACCTGCGCCCTCTTCGTGTTGAGCCTCGAGTGTGGGGGTCCTGCAGAAGGACCAGGTGCTGTGACAAGCGTGCAGGGTGGAAAAAGATCCGTCCCAGCGAGGCCCCCCTTGCAGAGGGGCCTCGGGCTCACGTGGCCAAACCAGTCCCACATGTTTGGAAGTGAAGAGCCTTGCTGGAGGCCAGGAGAAAGATCCGTTCTGGGGGTTCTGCCAGCCCTGGAGATGAGGCTGCCAGAGGGAGGTCAGGACAGGGGAAGGACAGATGTGTCCAAGCCCCTGCCAGAGGCCACGCTGGCCCCAGTGAATCCATTCTCTAACCAGAGCCGTAACTCTATTCCAAGCTCAGGCGTTCCGGTTCCCAGATTAGACCATGGAAAAGTGGTTCCATGTGGACTCTTTAGCTCGGCTGCTTCCTCAGGCCCCGCCCCTGCCCCCCACCTCCAGCCCAGAATCGCAGGGAGGCCATTTCGTGTCAACACGAGGATGTTGCTCTCTATTTTCTTCTCTCTTGAACCCACAAAAATAACTCTGCCAGACCCAAGTATCCGTGTGAGCTCCCAAGAAGCCGGACTGAAACGTGTTTGCACGTCGGGACCAAAGCAATCCCACATGTGGCTGCTGAAACGGAGTGCCCTCTACGTGGCAGGTGGCTGCCTTCTTGAATCTCACGGACGACCACGGAAGGAGGAAGGGACCACATCTGCACCCCGTCCTCTGCTCTTCAAATGGCCCTTCCGTTTCATTTGTCGTCTTAGTTTTGCAGATGGAAAAACCTAAGGCTCGGAGAGATGGGAACGGTTCAATCATTCGATCACTCCCCACTCTGCAAATGCGTATCATTTCCACCAATGTGCTCGGTGCGGATTTTGGTAGGGAAAACCCTTTCTTTTCTGCTTTATGAAAGGATTCACTAGTGGATTCCCTGGGGTGTTCCATGCAAAGTTTCCCAAAGCGTATAAGGTAAAAGACTAATTCTGTGAGGGCTTAATAGGCATTTGGGGAAGTCTATGCACAAATTAACCTGGAAATCACTGATTAAACAACACTTCCTTAGGAGATCACTGATTAAAGAAACTCAACAATGCAGGATTTTCTTAAGTATGGGCGTTTTCAAAGTCTGTAATTGGCTAAAGTATATTTGAGTCTCCCAGCAGAGTATAAAGCATGCAGTCTTTTCCCAAAGTTATGAGCGAGAGTTCTAAGAAAAACTGTCTTGGAAACACTTCCCCAGTATATTTGGTTGACTCATATGAAATTGCCAACCCACAGCTGTTTTTTTATCTACAAAACGGCATTCCCATATGGTTGAACCTGACGTGCACAACAGGGTTTTTCTCAAGTGTTTTGTGACTCCTTTATCTGATTTCATAATGTGATGGGGTTCATAGGCCCCGCACCCCTTAAAGGTTGTTTGTAAGTGACCCTCCCTTAAAGGGTACTTGACGTGTTGCCTTTTGTGTGCTCACTGTTAGAGCTGGAAATTGTCCTGGGGAGGGGTGGCCCAGATGGCTACTCTCTGCCCAAACCTGTGCCTGTCCTTCCGTACTGTGGAGTCAACTGAAGCAGCCACGTAAGTAGAGACTGTCTTGCCAGAGCTCGAGCACCCAGGTGGGTGTGGGGGCCGGGGGCCGCTATGGAGAATGAGCACAAGGATACGCGTGACCGCCAAGCGGTGGGAAGAGTCAGGTGTCTTCTCCATCCTCTCCTTGCCCATCTTCTGGCCGAACACATAGATCTCCAGAGTCCCAGAGGCTGGCAGACCCACAAGAGGGAAGGGAACTTAGTCCTGATTCACCGCCTGGTGGAAAGCCACCCACCAACTAAGCACACCTATGTTGAACTTTTAGGTGAGGGAGAAAGCCACGGAAGCTTGGGAGGTGTTGTTGACATCGCGGAAGGAAGTGTCAACGTAACCAACACAGTAAAGTTGGGAGCAGGTGGTGAGAGCGGCCGTCCAGGGCCCTGAAGGTGGGTAAGAGGATAGAGCAAAAGAGGACCACCCTCAGCAAGGCTCACACGACAAAAGGGTCACCAGTCAGGATGGGCGGACCGGGCTCACGCGCGCAGAAGCTCTCTTAGTCAATGGGGGCTGCTACAACAAAATGCCATCAGTGGAGTCACTTACAAACAACAGGCATTTCTCTCTCATAGTTCCAGAGGCTGGGAAGTCCAAGATCAAGGCCCTGGCAGATTTGGTGTCTGATGAGAGCCCATTCTTTGGTTCACCTGGTAGAAGGGACAAGACATCTCTTTGGACTCCCTCTTAAAAGGGCACTAATCCCGTTTATGAAGACTCTGCTCTCATGACCCTAATCCCCTCCCTAAGGCCCCAGCTCCAAATACTGTCACAGTGGGGATGTGTGATGAATGGGGTGGGGGGAGAGCGGACAGGGGAGACATGACATTCAGTGCCTAGCAAAAGCCAATGTCATTTGTAGGAAGCATAATATGAATGGAATGCTGGGCTGATCATAGAGCTATTATTCAAAACACTAAGCATCGGTTGAGACCCTGACACCTTCCTCCCACTCATAACCCCGTGTCCAATCAGGCCCCACAGAGTTCTGGGGATTCTATGTCCTCCGTCCTATGACCCTGTCTCCTCCTCATCCCTTGTGCCCTAAATACACGGCCTCCTTCAGATCTCCCAAACACCAGCCGCACACCAGCCCCTCTAAAGCTGCACATAGGAAGATTTCCAAGGGGTTTCCTTGGCATTGAAAACCTAACCATGGCTCTCCCTGTCTAAACCCTTAGGCACATCCCAGTATCCTCAAAATAAGTCTAAGCTTATGGAGTAAAGGCAGAAGAGGGTGAGCTTTGGAGGCAGACTCCTCTGGGTCTGACCCCTGACCTCCCCACCTCCCCACCTGCATGACCCTGCACGCGGACCTTATGCTTTTGATTTTCCTTTTCTTGACCAATAAAGTAGATCACACCACAAGGCCTTGCATGTAGAATGTCCTCCTCCTTAATCAGCTTTCTTGCTTTCCCGTGCATGGAGCAAAGGACCCTAAACATGGAGGTTCGGAAGCCTGATTCGAGGCTGACCACTAGCACAGCACTTGCACGGAGTAGGTGCTCCAGACATGCACCTGCCAGATGGGTCAATGCCAAAGCCCTGACTCCCTGTCATGCCTGGCTCTACTCCAGCTGCTACACTTGGGTTCCTTTCCAGACATGAGAAGGCGGTCGTTACCGGAGAGTGTGCTACACTTTGCTGTCTCTGCCATGTCCACGAGGTGTCCCCTAAAGAAACTTCTCTGCCCATCAGAGAAGCAGACTGGGTAGCACTGGGCACGCAGCCCTGGGGTCTACCAGCTAACTGACCTCTAAATCAGGCAGGCAAGATCTTACGGTCCTGTCTGCTAATCTTTGAAAATAAGACACAAGGGGAAACATTTACCTCCCCAAAGCACACGTCTGCTCGGCAGTTTCTGAGGATGAGCCCGCGGAGAGACGCCTCCCTCTACGAGGGCTCCCAGGAGAGGCCAACAATGTGTGCGGCCTTTTCCCATGACGGAAGGGCCAAGTTCCCAGAGATGGCCCCCAGTCACCCCTCCCTCAAGGATCATGCTAAGATCCTCCTAACACACCTGCTTTTCCTTCCTCGGGCCTGGGACAAGTCCTGTCTCCGAGGTGGTTCATCCCATCCTGATCCTAATGTTCTAAAATAACATTGTATCCATTTCAGCCTCAGGGTTCTTAGGGTGCATCACAGCGGCCCCTTTATGCTACTTATGCTCTTCCACTAACAAAAACTACGGGACAAGGACAGGGGAAGAAGTGGTTCTCACACTCATACGAAAACCCCACTGGGCAGGTGGTTGTTGCATATAGCAGGAAGCGTCCTCATTCACCATGCATTTTCAAACCACGGGATGACGCCATCGCGAAGTTCCAAGTAACCATATTTAGACGTCGAACTTCTCCACATAACTCGACAGCTTCCTAAGTTGGTTACAGTAATTAAATAACTGAAGTGTCCTACATTACCAACTGGAGACCAGAGCTACCGGGTCCCTTCCTTGCAACTGGGAGTGGCCATGTGACTGAGTGCAACAAAAAGATACATAACACAGAAATTTATTGGAGGGTTTCTGGGGGAAGATGTTCTCTCCTGATAGAGAGACGCTGCTCTGGAATCTCTGGGTGCCCCTTGGCCTCCTGTCTTTTTAAAATTTTTTTTTTAATATTTATTCATCTTTGAGACAGAGACAGAGCATGAATGGGAGAGGGTCAGAGAGAGAGGGAGACACAGAATCCGAAACAGGCTCCAGGCGGTCAGCACAGAGCCCGACGCAGGGCTCGAACTCACGGACCGCGAGATCATGACCTGAGCCGAAGTCGGACGCCCAACCAACTGAGCCGCCCAGGCGCCCCCTGGCCTCCTGTCTTTGAAAAGAGCCCTTTGAGGACTATTTAAGGTGAGGTGGTCCTATTTAAACCGTGAGGCAACAAGCCTAAAGACAAAAGCCAGCTTTCTGAGAAAGAGACACAGAAGGGTGGGATGAGGCTGGTTTGGGTTATTTGTTTTGTTTTGTTTTGTTTCGTGGGTGTGTGTGTGTGTGTGTGTGTGTGTGCTTTTGTTCTGTTTTGTTTGTTTGCCACTGAACCAGACCAGAACCACCTACTTCGCAAGCCATTGTTAGGCAGGTACACTCAAAGTCTCTTAACGAATGCCTCATGCGTTATCAGCCCACCGTATTTTAATAATACCTTGGGACATGAGAGGACCACAAGGTGAGCAGACAATTCAGGGGCTAAAAGTAGAAAATAAACCTTTACAAAAACGGGACGATATGTAAGTGAATGTTTCATATTATCAATACGGGCCCTTGTGAAAGCCTCTGTTTGTAGAACAGGAATAATAATATCTGGTGTGGGTCTGTTCCAAGGATTCCGCGAGTTAATACAGGCAGAATAAAGTTAAAAGTGCCAGGCACAGAGCAAGTACTATCTAATAATAGCTATCAAGTTAATCAGTAAAAAACGTAACTTTCTTTAGTAAAGAGTATAGGGGCGCCTGGGTGGCGCAGTCCGTTAAGCGTCCGACTTCAACCAGGTCACGATCTCGCGGTCCGGGAGTTCGAGCCCCGCGTCGGGCTCTGGGCTGATGGCTCAGAGCCTGGAGCCTGTTTCCGATTCTGTGTCTCCCTCTCTCTCTGCCCCTCCCCCGTTCATGCTCTGTCTCTCTCTGTCCCCAAAATAAATAAACGTTGAAAAAAAAAAGAGTATAAGTCTGGGTACTGGATTTGGAGTCAGAAAACCTGGCTTCTGGAGGGACACTTCTCCTGTCTGATCACAGATCAACGTTCGTGGCTATTTCAGGACAATGAAATCTCAATACAATAGAGGCCCCTTGTCAAAGCGTGTTGAAAGTTTGATAAATCATATGAATTCTGAGCTGTCACATGTTGCCAATTCAGTAATGAAATAAATGTATCACTGGAAGTCTAAAAAGGCTTTAAAAATACGCCTGTAAATAAAATGGAACATTTGGTTGTGCAACTAAGGAAGAGCCTGGAAGTTTTTAAGTAATTTCATATGAAATTGATTTTCCTTTCCTAAAACAATAGCTGGACAATGACAGTGTGAGCACAAATGTAAAGTAGAAGAAGACAGAGAAGATGGACAGTGCCTAGGCGGGTCCCCCCACTACCCTGCTGATGTGCCTCTAGGTAAGTCCTTTCCCATCCCCGGGCCTCAGTTTCCTCGTTTGTAAATTGAGTAGTGTAGGACACAACAGCCCTTATCCCGTCTCCAGTCCTCAGCTGTGGGACCAGAAACAAGGGACTTACTTTCTCTGAGCCCCACGAAATGGGAATGAAAATTGGGAATGAAAAAAAGAGCAACTTCACAGGAAAGCTGTGAAGATCAAATGTCAGAGCACGTGAAAACATTCCAGGCACAGGGTAGATGCTTAATAAATGTTGGTGGGAGCCTAGTACGTTGTCTATCCCAGTCCCAACATTCTGTGGTTCTGTATAAAGTGGGGCCCGTAGAGGCAATGGCAAAAAAGAGAGGACATGTTCTTTGTCCCACAAAAGCATGCCCCAGACAGGATGGCTTGGGCCTTCCCAGGTGGCCAGGGCTCCCTTGTGAATGGTCCAAAGGCCCTTGGCCAACCTTTAGCACGAGGGACATTTATTAGACCCAGGAGACAAAGATGGTCCATAAGGTCCCCTGGGTTCTGGTATAAGGAACGTTAGACAATAGACACGGGGAAGGTATAAGCTATGAGAAACAGACTTCTACAGGACGTCATCAGTGCCTGTGGGTCTATGACCAGAATTCCCACAGTTACGGGGTCAGGTCGAGAAGAAAAGATTGGACATGAAAACATTCACTAACGGACTCACCACCTAGAAAGTACCCTCATTCATGCAGCACCACACACACTCACACACACTGACTCTCACTGTTTGACACTAACAATTACGACCCACAAAGAAGTGGATGGGATGGGCAGAGCGCTTCTCCTTTACGGTCAAATGTGCCACCTCTAACAACACAAGGAACGTGCCATGCAAATGGCCTTCAAAGGCATACTGAAATGTACAAAAGACGTCAGATGTCACGAAGTCAGTGAAAGCGATCTAAGGATCTGCGTGAATCACAGGCAGAGTCCGTGATAAATGACCAGTTAGCCACCAAAGCCAAGAAAATCAAAAAGGATGATCTCACAATAGATGTCTCGAAGGAGAGTGTTTCTTACATAAGTGAAGATCAAGGAAAAATTAATGCGCCTTTTACTCTATTTACACAAATCACCCTTTTGATCACGTTGCAAAAGTCAGAAGTAAACAACACATTTTGTGCTCGCATACAATGGTATCAGGAAAACCGTACCAAAGGAACCAACATTCACTTTGTTCTTGACTCACCGTAAGCCTCTCACATGTGATGGCAACGCAATCTAAACTTTGTTAAATGCAAAACAAAATAAACATGATGATAATTTTTGTTCGTTCTTCAGAATAATTTCCAATCACACTTTTCATCCTTTTCTACCATTCACTATGAAACCAGAGTCCTTATTTTTAAGTTTACTAATTGTATGTGACTAATTTCAAACATGAGGACCTCTTCTATATGGTCAGACGAACAAGAACCAAGTCTACACTGAATCTAGCCCTGGCTGGGCTCCGGGCTCTGAGGATCTGGGGATGAGTACATCGGACAGAGGAAACAGCTTGTACCAAGGCTCTGGAGCAGGAAAGCCTTCGATGCACTTGAAGCGGGGAGGAAATGAGTAAAAGGAAGAGCGGGACAATACGAGTGACAGGGGTCAGCAGGGATCAGCTCAAGCAGGGCTGTAGTCCCTGACAGGGAGTTAGAATAAAAACTCGAAGTGCCCTGGGAGGTGACCAAAGAGTATGAAGCGGATGCTCTGCCTGGAGCATCTGGTGGATAGAGATGCCCCTCCAGGAGACCAGGCGGCAGCAGCAGATCTGGAAGGTGATGCTGAGCTCGTGATGGGAGGGACAGTTTGAGCTGCCTGGAGCCTTGCCCGTGGACACGCCCAGCGGGCATTAGATCCAGGATTCCGAAGGTGGTCAGAGACGTATGACCTTCCACTGTGCCCCGAGGATGAGGACTTGGGAATTTTCAGTCTGGAGGACACAGCCGAAACCATGCTTATGAGTGCCCCCCCCCATACGCGCACACACACACAAAGAGAACATGTAAACCCACAAACGGAAACTCCCGAAGGAGCTGAGAAAGACTGCCCCCTCCTCAGATGACTCAGGCTGCCTGTTGTTCCCAGATCTCCAAGCAAAACAGGAGACTGTGGATGGACATGAGAGAACACTTTTATGGCAATGGAATATATCTGTGTGCCCTCTCCACGTCAGAAGGCTAACGTGTTAATCAGCTTGGCTTGTCACGTGTCGCCGATTCCCCAACGAAATAAAAGCTCTGACTTTGATCTTTCAGGAAAAACTTGAATGAGTCAAAATAAGCTTTTTCTCCTTGTAAACAAAAGAAAGTTCTCTGATTGTGCAACTGGGTACAAGGCCAGCCAATGTTAAAGAATCTCATACGAAACCACCCTCCCCCCCCCACCCCCTCTCCACCACCCAGACTTCAGCCCTAAAATAATACATCACATGTTAGGTGGCAAAGTTGAGTAAGAAAAGGAATAAAATGGGTGTCGGGAGGCCCAGGACCTCACTTTTGCTCTGCCATTGACAGGTGGCATTTCTCTCAATACCTCAGTTTTGTCATCTGCAAAATTAGGAGGAAAAAGGGGGGGGGTTATGTTTTAAGTCTCTTAACCGTGTTAAGGGCATGCAATTCTATAAATAGGCAGGCTAGTGGGCCTCTAAGTCTCAGCGAACTGCTATAATATCCCAGGCCCATATGTACCTTTTCTCATTTTAATGCGCACGGCATCCCTACGAGGCAAGCATTGTTGATGCCAATTTGGGGATGGAAAGACTTAAGGTCCCCAAACAGCCAGTGTTAGTGTGGACAGAATTCTGGCTTTGGTGTCAGAGAAACCTGGGTTTTAATCGATTGTAATACTGTGCCACTAGTCAATGTGTTGCCTCTCAGCCCAGGACTCCCCCTCATTGGCCAGCTTCGTGATGGCGGTGCGGGACCCTGGGAGCAGTTCTCCTCTGCCAGCAGGTGGAATGCTAGGCTTTGTCAGTAGAGGGCGCTAGACGGAGAGAGAGAGAGAGAGAGAGAGAGAGAGAGAGAGAGAGAGACACACACACACACACACACACACACACACGAAGATGGCTCTGGTGTTTCCGGGTGTATTTTTTTTTTCTTTTTTTTTTTTTTTTTTTTTTTTTGCTCCTGGGGTGAAGAGCAGCCAGCATGGAAAGAACACCCAGTCCCACTGGTGCCCACACCTCAGCAAGTTTCACTGGCACCCCAAAAGGCAGCTCCTCAGCAAATAGCAGCCCTCTGGGGAGCAGCTTCCAGGAGTCTCAGTCACACGCCAGAAGACAGATCCCCAGAGAGTGTTGTCTGCACCCCAGGGACTGGTGTCATTGGAGGCGCCTCAGTAGACCTCTCCACCATCCAGCGGAGTACAGCCACACCCGCTCCAGAGAGGTCTGAATCTCAGCCGGGGGGACCGGGGTCCTGTCCCAAATCTGTTCCTTCCTTGCATAACTGTGTTCATCTATTCACAACACTTCTGACACCAAGCGTGTAGGGGTTTTCCCACACCAGCCAATTCTCCCACAAGACTGCCTGTGACCAGATGCCAGCCGTAAGTCCCAAGTTGTCGCCCATACGTCTGAGTAACTGGCTATAAATGGGGGACTCCCAAAACCCCTTGTGCAGGTTTGATCATGTGCTATGAGGGCTCACAGAGCTCAGGGAAACCCTTACTTATATTTACTGGTTTGTTATAAAAGATATCATGAGGGACACAGATGAACAGCCAGATGAAGAGGTGAGATCTGGGTGAGATCTGGAAGGGTCTCGAGCACAACATCTTTTGTCCCAGTGGGGTTGGGGTATGCCACCGTCTTCTCACGTGGATGTGTTCACCAACCAGGAAGTTCTCCAAACCCCATAGTTTAGGAATTCTTAGGGAGGCTTCAGCCCATAGGCATGATCAAGCTTTACTCAATCTCCAACCCTTTGACCCTCCCTGGCGCGTAGGGCGAGGGGCTGAGAATTCCAAGCTTCTAATCATGCTTGGTCTTTCTGGGGACCGGGACCCATGCAGGAGCCCACCAAGGACTGTATCATTAGAACAAAACACACTCCTGTCACCCGGAAAATCCGAAGGATTTAGTAGTTGTGTGGCAGTGGCTCCTATCGCCTCCATTTCTCAGGAAATTGCAAGAGTTTTTAGGAGTTCGGTGTCAGGATCTGGGGGCAAAGAGCAATATATCTATTATTATTTCACAGGTACCCTGCCTCAAGCCTAGAGGTAGAGACTCCGTTTCTGCCTTCTTTAGTGTTATCTTTACCCCTTAGTAGTTAAGATTTCCTGTCACTTTGCAATTCTTTATATAAGACTTTCCCTATTCCAATTCCTGTGTGGCTTCTGCCTTCGGACTGGACTCTGATACGCTCGGAGAAAGTTGCTTAACGTCTCTGAGTTTTGATTCTATCTTATGGAAAATGGAAATAATAACAATCCTTCTCTGATAAATTGTCATAGAAAATTAGAGCTGTTGTAATGTTCACCAGTTGGAAGGTGTTAGTACAAGTACTCAGTGGTTGAAGCTTTTTTTTTTTTTTTTCATTAATTTATCCAAGGTCTGGATAAATTGTCAGCAGTAGGTGAGCAGAGAGGCTGGTGCCCACCCCCCACCCTACCAGAGGCAGCCCATGACTGGGCGTTGCAGGGGTGCTAGAGCCCGCCCACCCAACCAGAGGCAGCCATGACTGGGCGTTGCAGGGGTGATAGAGCCCGCCCACCCTACCAGAGGCAGCCCATGACTGGGCGTTGCAGGGGTGCTAGAGCCCGCCCACCCTACCAGAGGCAGCCAATAATTGGGCGTTGCAGGGGTGCTAGTGCCCAGCGACCCCAAATTCAGGGCTCCCCCAGGAGTGACTTGGCTCCGGAACTGCTACACCAGCCTGGCCAAAACTTTCTTAGAAGTGAGGTGCGGTCTGAAACCTTCTTGCCACCCTTCACCTTCCTCCCCCTCTGTTTTCCCAAGTGACAGAACTGAGTCACGTCTGCAGGCTCCCCGTGCCTAGTAGGCTGCTCTCTCCCCTGTATCCTTCACAAGCCTTTCCCCAATAAGGCTCTTGAACTTGGCATCCGCCTCTCAGAGGATCTGAACTGACATTTCCTCTTAGCTGATGATGTGTTCGCAGATGATCCCCAAGTAAGACGCCTGTTTTACTTCTCACTGCAAAGGACCCATCTGGGAGGACCAGCATGTGTATACTGAAGCCTCAACTTCCCTGTTTTCTCTCTCTCTCTCTCTCAGACCTCACCTGGCTCTCTCGACTTCTGTCATGCTGACCGCTCCCCGCGTCTAATCGGACACACACACGGGCAAGCGCACACACATGTGCACACACGAGCCACGCACACTGCCGTCTCCCTCCCGGGACTCGTCATCCTCCCCCACCTCTTGCAACAGGCGGGGCATGGCCCCTCAGACCTATCCCGAGAGTCTCTCTCCCACCCCGAACTGCCTGCAGACAGCTCCCCGCAGCCTGCACCCCCCACTCTGGGCAGGACCGGAGCTCCAAAACGCAGCTTCCGTTGAGCTTACCTCCCTCGAGGCAAGGCCAGAAGGGGCCCAACAAGGCACCCTCTGAGGGACCGTTGCAGAAATCCCTACCTTAAACAGTGACGGGGACCAGGGTGGGAGAAATCCACATAGCTGAGAACAAGCACCAAATCCAGGAGTGGCAGAGGCATGTCCCAAATGAGTCAGGGAGTCAGGAGCCTCAGGATCTAGAATGAGCAGCTCAAACGCAAGAGCAGAGCTTTCCGAAAGATTGTCTCAGGCACAAATAGGACCAGCGAAGGGTCTGGTGAGGGTCTCGGGGATGAGGCCAGCCTGACCTAGAGGGAAGCTGGGGTGGATAATTAGTCACCGGGCCGCACTGCTCAAGCCTCAGCCCTCGGGTGGCTCTGGAGGGCAGGTGGCTACCCAGTGTCCCCTCAGGTGAAGCCCCACGTGGACCTTCCTCTGCTACTTTGGCCTCATTTGCTCTACTAGGCTGTCACTTCAATGTCCCGTTTGTCCTCTGTTCCCTGCCACAAGCTTCTCTCCGACTCCTTCCGGATGCTGCAGAGGGCTGGACACGGACGCACAGCTCCAGCCACTAATGGGTTAAGTGCTGGTCTTTTTCTCCCAGACCTTTTAACAACCCCGCCCCCAAAACACCAGAGGGGTGGGGGGGACGTGGGACCACATCTAGGCCCTTCACCATTGCCTCCCTGGCCACCTCCACCCTTTCTACTCACACAGCCACTCAATCCTTAACCAGCCATGGCTTTCTCCCTTTTTCTAGTCCAAGCCCCTGAGGCCCCTGTAGGGCTCAAGGTCAAGTCTATGTGATCGGAGGTAAATGACTTTCCCCGCTCCGGACCTCAGATCTGCCTCTTACATGGATGAAGTGTATCCTCTCTAGATCATCCCCCAGGGCCGTCCCAAGTGGGGAATCCCATAGCCACTTGGCTCTATAATCCCATGGCCACTTGGTCCCACGATCCCGTAGCCACTTGGGTCCCAGTATCCCTCGTGCAAACACTGCTTCTGTTTTCCCTTTCTTGTTCTCACAATGGGAAAGGGGCCATGAGGCCAGGCCACATCACCCACCTCCCGGTGCCCATGGCTACCTACAATCTCTCTGTAAAGAGACTTCCTGTCCCGATATAAAGAGGACTTCCTCCTCCCCCCACTGCTCTGTTCTACATTCCGGTGGCTGGGACAGCGGCCTCCCCACCAGATTCACAGGAGATGAAAGACATCCTGCCCCATCATCCCTACTCAGATGCAGACCTCAGCACACACTGACAGCGACACATGGGTCGCACGGCTGCTCGGTCGCTCACAGACACACACGCTCTCCCTCCCTGCCTAATATCCAGTCCTTTCCTGTCTTCAGACACACACAAGCCCTCAGTGCTCTGGCTCACATTCCTTCTCTCTCTCTCTCTCTCTCACACACACACACACACACACACACACCCAGACCCAGCCCTCCCCGTCATGCCCAGGCCCTAGGGCACTACAGCCGAAAGAACGAAGACAACCTAGGCACTGGCTAATGTTCTCAGGTGATAGAACACGTGAAGAATGCCCGCCAGCGCCCGGTCTGGAACAGAGCTGGCAAGGTGCTCCGAGGGAGAAGGGGGGTGTGGGAGACGCCAAGCCAGCAGGAGCAGCACTGTCTTCCTCCGGCGCGGGTGGGAGAGGCTGGATCCCCGGATCACTTCTGTAGCCCTCAGAAAACGTATGTACCCCCTCCACTAAGGGGGCATTTCCTTAGCCACCTTCCTCATCCTAGCATAGTAACCCAGATTGCTGCGTCCTTATTCTGAGTTAGGGGCTGTGAGAAGCACGGGAGTGAGCGAGTGAGTGTTCACTTTGACCTCACGAGGTAAATGTTGCCATCACTGTTTCCACAGAAGAAAAAAACCGAGGATTGACTAAGAGTAGTTCGTTTATTTAAGGATTAATGTTTTATTTTAAATTTTTTTTTATTTTTCAGAGAGAGAGAGAGAGGGAGCGTGCGCACGGGGGTGGGGAGGGGCAGAGAGAGAGAGAGAGAGAGAGAGAGACACGGAATCCGAAGCAGGCTCCAAGTTCTGAGCTGTCAGCACAGAGCCCGACACGCGGCTCGAACTCCCGGACCGAGAGCTCATAACCCGAGCGGAAGTCAGACGCTTAAGCGACTGAGCCACCCAGGCACCCCAAGGATTAATTTTTTCAATTAACCAAGAATTTAGAGGAGCTTGCCCAAATTCACCCAACAGGTCAGGAAGGAGCTGGTATTCAACCTGTGGGAGCCCCAAGCCCACAAGATTAACCCCCAGGCTCCCTCACTCCGGGACATGACCGGAGCCAAGTGCAAACTTAGCCCTCCCGTCGACTGACCGTGTGACACCAAGCAGGCTCCGTCACCTCTCTCGGCCCCCATTTCCACGCTGGTGCGCTGAAGATAACAGCATCTGTTTTGCAGATTTGTAAGGATTACGAAGGGTTTATCAAAAGCGCTCAGCACACTGCCTGGCCCAGAGTAGGTCTTCAACCGTGTCTCATCTCTGCCTTCCTGTAAAATTACGATAGGCTCTTCAAAGACCAAAATGAGCCCACGCGGTAACAGCCTAAGCCTGGGATGCCAGATTTGGAGAAGGCCAGGGGTGAGAGTTTTTCAAATGTCGCTTTTAGGATAAATAAAACACAGCGTGTTCCTTCCTACCCCAGGGTTTAGCCACATGGAACTCATTTCTCTGAGGGGGGGGTACGGTCTGAAGCCATGCGCGGGTCCAAGTTCAGGTGCGACCTCTCGATGAATGACAGAGACAGAAGGGGGCATTCGAATGAACGCTAACACCTCCTGATCGTCTCGCACTTTACCGTTTTGCAGCGGCCTGTGCACCCATTCTCTGTTGCGGGCTCAGAACCACCCTCCGGGGCTGGTGGCGAGGTCACGGATGTCTAGGCTGATGTCATCTCCAGCTGACCGATGAAAGAATGAGACCCAGGAGGGGGCACGCCATGCCCGTGGTGAGACCCAGGCCCACTGACAGTGGCCTCTCCCAGGGGACGGGGAGGACAGGAGGAGCAAGGGACTTCCTGTTGGTAATAGCAGTGGCCAATACCCATTTGCCAGCAGGGCTGGGGACAAGGCTGAAATGAGAAAGACAGCTCGGGTACAAAATCGAAAGAGAAAATAAATAAATAAATAATTAATTAATTAAAACAAAATAAAAACAAAAAATCGAAAGAGGCCAGCAAGTACGGGGTGAACGCGTCCTTGACTTTGGCCCCCGAAGCCCCTCCCCCTAGTCCTGGCCCTGTTTACCAGGCTCTGTTCTAAATGCCTTATACGCATCAACGCATTTAGTCTTCACCACAAACCACAGGGTAGATGCCGTGTCATTACCTCTCACACGCACCCCTTTTTAGGCGGGGGGAGAAAGAGGGTGCAGCGTATGCTCAGGGTCTCGTGAGAAGAGTCCACACGCACACATTTAACTCTGCTGTCTGCTCCTCCCCGCTGCCTCTGGCCATGGCTGTAGTCTCACCAGCGTGGCCCTTCTCCGAAAAGATCAGTGAGTGCGACCAGGAAAGAAAGGGACTGACATGCAACATGACCCTGAAACATCTAGAGTTGCTTGTCGTTATTCAAGGTGATTATGTTCTATAAAGTCACCGTGAACACTGAGTTAGCAAATACTGAACCCTTGCTCGTAGGGAAATGTAGGGTTAGGTTCCTATGAACCCCTGGTCACAATGTTCTTATCAACCCATCAGTACATAACCTTGTTCTATTGTTTCATATGTGTTTCTGTTTAAAGACGTCTGGGGGCGCCAGGGTGGCTCAGTCGGTTGAGCGTCCGACTCTTGGTTTCAGCTCAGGTCATGATCTCACAGCTCGTGAATTCAAGACCCACGCTGGGAGTGCGGAGCCTGCTTGGGATTCTCTCTTTCCCTCTCTCTCTGCCCCTCCCCTGCTCTCGCTTTCTCTCTCTCTAAATAAGTAATTAATATATACTATTGATTTATTAACATTGAACTCCAAGCCAACAGCACAATAACTCAACACTGAACTCACGAAAGAAGGCTACCTAACACGTGTGTTTTCTCCACAAGGCGCATAGGACCACTAGACAGCACTTTGGCACTGGGGCGCCCGTGACCCCATGGGCATCTGCATGGTGTAGACATGCCACACAACAGCTGTTTCCTTTTAAACAGGGAGGTCATGGGCAAAACCCACAAAAATGTGAAGAACGTGGCACACAGTTGATTGCATAAAGGACACCTGTTTAGAGTATGGGCCGAAACGGGAAGGCAGAGGGTCACCTGCTCTGGCCTTGGCTGGGAACAGGTGCAACGGGTGACCCCTCACTCTGCGGCGTCCACAAATGGCAGCAAAAGCACCGTGACTACTGATTTGGGGGTCACAAATAAATTTCGGCAAGAGGCAAGTTTACAAATCTGGAATCCGTGAACAATGAGGACCACCTGTGTATGCATAACTATTACCTCTGCTTTCTAGAAAAGGACACAGAGTCTCAGACAGGTGGTCCGGTGGCCTGCTCACAGCCACGCAGCTCTTACGTGGCAAGATTTGGGCCTAAACGAGCCCAGGTTCGTTTCTCGCCATGTCACCCTCCCTCATAGAGGAGTATGTTTGGATGTCTCCCACCGTTCCGGACCTTCCTTGCATGAACCCCAAGGGACTCAGCGAAGTGCCCCACAGGCTTTGGAAGACCCAGAAGACCCCGGCGTGAAAGCCAGCTCCGCCCCTCCACGTTCCCATCTGTGAAGTGGCCATGACAGCTCCCGCCTCCCAGGAGGCTGTCAGGATAAGCAGGTGAATCGGTGTGAGCGATTGTCCGGTTTCCCCCTGGAAACAGGCCTTTCCCAGTAAGCAGGGCGAATGCTCCCACTCCGGGCTATCCCGCTGAGCGGACTGGGCGGGTCTGGCCTCCCCAGACTGGAGCCGACAACCCTTCCGTGGCCGGCGGGGTCCACAAAAGGAGCCGTGGGCACACTTCAGGACAGGATGCACGCTCTCGAGTGGACGGTAATCCCCAGACCCTGGCCTTTCCCCAGAGCCAAAGCATGGCCCAAGGTTTAATTTTAGAAACACCAATGACCCTCTCGCCCTTTCCTTTCCAGGGTCCAACAGTGCAAAGACAGCTCCTAAAGGAGCCCGCTTGGCAAGCTGAGCATGCAGAACTTTGGAAAGATCCCATATTAAAGTTAGATAGCACTGGGGCACCGGGGTGGCTCAGTCGGTTAAGCGTCTGACTTCGGCTCAGGTCATGATCTCACAGTCCATGAGTTCGAGCCCCGTGTCAGGCTCTGTGCTGACAACTCAGAGCCTGGAGCCTGCTTCAGATTCTGTGTCTTTCTCTCTCTCTGCCCCTCCCCTGCTTGCACTCTGTCTCTCCCTCTCTCTCAAAAACCCAATAAACAATTTAAGAAATTTATTGCCAAATGCAGTGAATAGTAGCAAATGCTCCTAGAACTAATGTAAGAATCAAACGAGTTCAATCCCTCGGCATTTTACTACTCCAAGCATGTCCTTGCACCAGGAGCATAGGCATCGCCTTTTAGAAATGCGGTACCTCTGGCCCACCCCAGACCTGCAGGATCGGGATCTGCGTGTTAACAAGGTCCCCGGGGTGTGCACCAGAGTGTGGCGCCCTACCGTGGCGCCCTGTCCAGCTTGCAGCAGGTGCACGGTTGCTGTGATTGTTCGGAGTGTACGGGTCCGACCCTCAAATGGTTCACAGGTAACTGATATGAGCACGCGGATGACTAACGTAAGGCTGGGGCATCTTGGAGACGCAAGAACACGTCGTGGGGCAGAGAGGAGACAGTGACTGCCACAAGTTGGGGCATTCAGACCAAGCATTAGACCTGGGCTTCCTCCCTTCATTTTTTGTCCTAATAATGCCCCTCCGTTCTTTAATAAACGTGTACCTTTATCCTGTGTGGATTGTGGTCTAGGCTCCGTCCTGGGTCCTGGGGAAAGAAGGGGAGACATGGACCTTCCCCTCGAGGCGT